GTCCTTTCTTCTCATACTATCCCTTCTCCTTTCTCCAGCTCGCTAGCTGCAAGGGGCAGAGGGATGCTTGTGGCTGTTGATCCAAGCTATACTATGTGGGGATATTGGCCAAACTGAGGTGCAAGAGGGCAGGTCTGTGTGGCAAGGATGTTTTGCAAGTTCTTTGGGCTCAGTTACCATATTACTGCTTAGATGGCAGCAGCATCCCAAACACAGACACTGTGATCACTTAGGTGATTCCCCAGCCTTCATGGTACTCAGAACAGCCTCTTGTGACTCACCATTGATTTCCAGCTGGAAGAACTTTCCCTGGAGCAAGAGTTTATTTAGTTTCATCCAAAAGATCCTGGAGCGGCAACTGCTCTCTACAAACCCTGGTGGGAGCACATATAGAGCAGATGAGCTAGTGGGACTGAAGGGCAGTGAAGAGGCACATCTTATTACAAACAAAATTACTGAGTTCTCATCCTTGGCTCTCCTCACTATCCTTTTGCCATGTTTCACCAACCTGGGGGAGCCATCTGCCTCCCTTGTCCCGGCCAGAACAGCATGAAAAGCAGCCAGATCCTGCAGTATAAGTACATGAAGAATAATGGGGTGAACAGAGGAAAAACAAGAAAAAAGGTCAAAATGGAAAATGGACAAGACAGTGACCAAAGTCTCATTACCTGCACAGCGAGTAACCCACAGCCTCCATCTGTCCCCAGAGACCTGTGCATGGGCAGCGAAGTCCTCCTCCCTTTCAAGTCCAGCTGACCCAGCAGTGGAGAGGGAACTTGGCCGGACCCAAAAGCAAAGGTATAGCTGACCTTTCACAACAGAGATTGTGCTGTCTTCTCCAAGCCTGGTGTGTGAATCAGAGAGGCTGGTGGCTTCTGTTGTGGCAGGATGCCTGGGCTGAATCTCGCAGTGCCCTCCGTTATCTGAGCCCCTGGCAGTGGGAGGCAGCTCCCCCCTGCTGGGAGGGCAGAGCACCCTTCTGCCAGGTATTTACAAGGTCAGATGCTGCTGCTGAGCCTGATTTTAACGGGTGCAGCAGAGGGTGCTCGGTGCTTTCCATCAAGCCCTGGGAAGTAATCTCATTCCTTACAAGCCAGTTGGGTAGCTTTGGCTTCAGGTCTTAAGAGCACATGAAACATTTCCCCAGAGGTATATTAATTGGGTCTACACAGGAAATACATTTTTGTTTCTGTGAAATGTCCCAGTGACCCAGCCATGCCAGAGATAACAGCAGTTCTTTGGCAGCTACACGTTTTGCTTTTGTGGATTCAGTTAGGTTGCCCTTTGATTTGTTTGATTATTGGAGAGTGTTTTGGTGAAAACATCTTGTTTTTAGAAGTGCTCTGATATCTCTGGATCAGTCAGATCATGTGCAGGTCTGTTAATGGCCAGACATACTGCCTGGGAAGAGAAAGTCATCATGCCTGGTGAGAGCTGAGGCTCTGGGACTGCAAGTGCCCTGGGAAGCAGAAAAGCTGAGTGGTTTGATGAGCTAAAAATACAGCTGTGTGGCACGGATGAGTTACGCTGGGGTGAGAAGTACAGGACGTTTAGGCTGACATTTTAGCCATTGAAATGCAGGGCTCAATCTCCTTTTGGTCCCCATTTTGGGGCATTACCCAACCATTCTTACCTTACTTTGGTTCACACGCACGTGCTCTGCTGAGCTGTGTGAGATTGTTTTTACAGAACACTTCACACCACTTTGGGATAAACAAATGCCAGTGGGCACGTCCACTCACAGGACACGGTGCAGTCACTGTAATTTCCTCCTCTGTCCCCCTCTCTCAGAGGACCCCTGCAGTAACAGCAGAACCCACATCACCACCCTGCCAGATCTGCTGACGTTATACGTCAGGGAGCCAGTGGCACACTTGTGTGAGTGCTCTGGAGCAGAACCCCAGGGGTTTAGCAATCTCCTAATTAATGTCCTTTGGCCACAAGACCCTTTCTCATTCAGTGGGAGCTGAAGTCCTGCTTCTGCAACGAGCTTCTCCTGAGCCCACGCAGGACTCGCTGCATGATCCTGGACTGAGTTAACTCTGCGTCCCCAGACTCAGAGTGACTCTTCATTGAATCCAGCTGGGGCTGGAATTCAGCTGGAAATGGTGGAACTCAGATACCACAGTGATGAGTGTGGTGTAACAATGAGATTTTGAATTTTGAGTGAAAACTTCAGTATATTTGGATAGCAAACGGTTCCAGTTTTGATAAGTCACTTCCAAAAGCCATGTAACATCTCTCCGAGACACTGAGAGTCAAGGTCTGAGGGAGCCATGTTTGGGAGAGCGTGATTGCAGTTTTCTGGTGAACAGCCACCCATCAGGACAGGTATGCAGCGGCAGTTACCTGGCTGCTTGCACAAGCAGCCAGGAGGCGCATTCGGGGTCTTTGGACAGCTCATGACATCGCGATTACTCTGTTTCTGGCACTGATCGTGATTCTAAATGTGGCAGAAATGACTTTGGATGTGACATAGCAATTGTGGTCAGTGTGCAATAGCCAGCTCTTGGCCTTGCTGTCAACCAAGCAAAGCAAAGCAAGTCCAGGTCAAATGATTTTGGCTTCCAAGGATCGCTTAAGTGCTGCAGAAAGCATTGTTAGCACTGGGGCGGCTGGAAGCATCGGCTGCTCGTGGTCCCTAAAGTCCCTCTGGTACTCATTATAAAGGTAGGGAGGATAAGCTTATGCATTCCAGGTTATTATATTTGTCTACACAGTTTTCCTTGCTGTTTTGGCTGCATAAAAGCACCCATCTTAATGTTCTTGTAGAGTGATAAACAGCTGCTGTGTTTCGACGTTGAGCTGATGGCATTCTGTAGTGGATAAGATGATTCATGGCTTGGGTTCCATCAAGCTGAAAGGTACTGTATAAATGTAATGTTTTGGTTTCTCTTTTTTTCCTGCATGGGTCTGGAACTGAGGCTTATATTATATAATGTGATTGGAAGTTTAGAACTTGCCACTTGGAGCAGCACACATATAGATCCTCTCCCAGCAAATCTTGCTTTTGATGGTGGAAAAAGGCGCCAGCCCTTTGAGTCATGGTGTTTGTGTTTCTGTTGTTCTGGGGCACTGAAATCCCCAGATTACCCGAATGATACAGAAAAAGACTTTTTCATTTTTTTGTCCCAGGTATTTTAATTATAAATTTATTTTTCAGACTGGTTAAAATGCAGGGAAGTTGTGGTGTTTTTGTTTTGTTTTTTTTTTCTTCTTTTCTTTTTCACTAGGTCCTATACGATGATCTTAAGTAAGCCCCATAGTTTGATACGTCGTCTGAGCATGGGAATAGAGTAAAATGGCACCCATTACTGGAAAAAAATCAACAACTAGTGAACAATGGGAACGGAAATGGGGTGAAGTCTGGTTTTAATGTACCAAAAGAAAAATCTTTGCTTATGTAGAGTTGGGAGAAACCAAAATAAGAGATTGCTTGCCCTCCTTGTCCTCTTGCAAATCTGGGACTGGCACATCTGAAACAGAGATAGAAACACTGGTATGTCAGTATTTCTAAACCTAGAAATAGCTGCCCAAGGAAGTGACCTAAGATATGACAAACAACTAGAGAAAGCCACTAGGAAATCTTCATGGAGGAGATTCTGGAAGAGACACTTCTCCACGGGAAGAGCTATGCATTGGAGTAAGGTGAGAATTCGATGTCCATGTTGTGTGTCCAGTGAATGGGAAATGGGAATGATGCTAAGCTTTCTCTCTGAGAAATTCTTTCTCAGAGTGCATGTCTTTGTGACACAAAGAGGTGCAAACGTCCTCCACCTGCAGGGCAGTGCTCCTGTTCTGGAAAGGGCTTGGTCACCTTGACATGGACATGTGTCTGAGCTCTGCTCCCACTTGCATGAGCCAGGAGCTTGTAAGGGCACTCAAAGGGCTTTTAAATCCCTAGGGAAATATCGTCTATAAGGATAGTTCTGGTTTAACTTCATGCCATACCACACGATAACTTCACTGGTGCAACTAAGATGCTTTGTCCGTTTTCGTATGCACACACCACATTTGAAAGGGCTGAGGTGGTGCTGTTGTGTGCAGATGATGCACAGGAAAATATACCCTGTAAAGAACAACTACAGAATAATCAGCTCAAAAAGGCATTTTCTTCCCATCACCCTAAGCTAGTAGTTGGCTTATGCCTTGGACTGTGAGGGCTTACATTCCTATTTGTTATTCTAAAACTATTATTATTATTATTATTGTTGTTGTCTATATAATGTGTTTAGAAAGTGTCCATGTGTATTTGCCATTTTTAGCATTAAAATATGCCACACTCAAATTCAAATAATTTCAAAAAGCAACACTTGCTATCACTGAATGCCACTAAATTGTTAAAGTGTTGGAAAAGCACAAATAAGCAGACCTGTATAATGATGGGCTTTTATTTATTTATTTTTTTTAACATGTTATCAGTGTTAATTTCGGTGTGCCTGTAATGTTTGTGTTCAGTGTAGCCGAACAATGGAACTTTGTTTTTGTTCTTTGTGTAAATTAAAAACATCTGTTCTCTTTATACGAAAAGTTGTTTTTTAAAAGAAGCTGGTCTGATCTAACTAAATACCAATGCTGTGTCCACAATGAGTTACTATTAATATTTGGGAAAGGCAACCATCCAAAACAAGTGTAATGTCAAATCACTGGCGGGAGTGCATATTTATTGCTTGAAGTGACAGATAAAAATGCAGAGGTTACAAAAACAAAATTCTTGTGGATGACTAATGATGCATATATATGCCCCCATTGCCCCATCACCACATTTGCGATTGGCAGAGTGTTCTCCACCATCTCCTTCTCCCCAGGATTAGTTGACAAGAGACTGGTAGCTTGGCACCCTCCCTGGAGGAGCGATGCTGCTTCCACCTTCCCTTCAGCAGACCCTCATGGAGTGACCTTTGGGGCATGCTGGAATCTGATCCATCTGTTTAATTTGTCTGACTTCTCCCCCACCTCACTCTGGTATTTGACTGCATGGGCTTATTTTCTGCTGAAGGCACGTGACTCTTTTTTATGCACAGGTGGAGGAGGTGGAGCATCCACTGCATGTTTCTGTAGTGCCTGTGATGCTGGCACAATGGTGGTCTTCAGAGTTGTCTGTAATGTCCTGGTATGAAGGAGCTGGCAGCCCGAGATGGGAGTCTGTCAGCTTTCCCATGAGGAGCAGTCCTGCATTCAGCAGCAGTCTTGTTGAAGTGGTTGGAGGCTATTTCAGAGGAAAAAAAACCCATCTGTCATGAGCACCGGTGGCAGAACTGGGGTCTGAGATTTTCAGGGCTCCTCCTGCCCAGGTGCCCAGGTACCTAGGTGCATCACTAACATTCTTGAGCACCTCAGAGAGGATGAAATTGTCCTCACAGGCAGACATTGTTGGGGGCTGACCTGCTGGAG